GCGCCGCAGGCGGGCCTGCTGCCGCACGTGAACGTCGGGCCGCTGTCGGAGGCGGAGTTCGAGCGCCTCGCCGCCGTGAGCGGCGGCATGGGCCTCATCGGCCGGGTCTGTGGGAGCCCGCCGCGGGCCTTGCGGGGGCCCGCCCCCCCCCCCCCAAGGGCGGGGGGCGGAGCCCAGACCAGCCATCGGGTCGGGCGAAAGGGGGGGATTGGGAAAGGGGGGGTTACGAAATTTGCTGCATGCAGCTGGTTTCGGCCTCACCGAGGGGGCCCATTCCTCGATACGTAGCCGCCTCCCGGCGCCGGGAGGCGCCAGGAAAATCAGCTACGTGAGCTGATTCTCACCCCCCCCCTTTGCTATCCCCCCCTTTCGCCCGACCCGAGCCATTTCTGGGGGAGCACGGGTCTGGGGGAGCTGGGGGCGCCCTCCTAGATGAGATGCCTCCTTTTAATGTAATTTCAAGCAGTTGCACCTGAGACTTCGTACTGTTGTGATGTTGTAGGGTAGCAGCGACGGCCTTGGGATCAGCCCTGAAGGTGGCGCGAAACCCCTCGCTGGACAACCTCCGCCGGCTCCGAGCCGGCGGAGGGGGTCGGGAGCCTTGAGGCGGGGGTCACTGCAAACGGGGGTCGGCCAGGGCGCCCGACTTGCAGGATCCTGCAGGGCCAGGGTCGCGCTGGCCCGGGCTCGGGTGCAGGATCCTGCAAGATCCTGTAGGATCCTTCGTGCTGGCCCGGGTTTGGGTGCAGGATCTTGCAGGATTCTGCCAGGCCTGCCTGACCCGGGTCTGGATTCACCCCGGTCAGACGATCCCCGAAAGGGGCTCCTGGCCCAGTGGCAGCGTGAGGGGGGGGGATGGGCTGGAGGTTCGAGACTCGTGGTCTCGGAGCTGGAGGTTCGAGGTTCCAGGTTCCGAGGCTCCGAGGCTTGGATGGGGTTGGGTGGGGTGGGGTGGGAGGGCCGGAGGTGCGAGGCTCGGGGTGCGAGGCTCGGGGTCGCTGGGACGGGGTGGGCTGGAGGTGCGAGGCTCGGATGGGGTTGGCGGTGCGAGGGCTGGAGGTGCGAGCCGCTGGCAGAGGCCCGAGGTCTGCCCCGAAAGCCGCCAGGGACGGGGGGCAGGCCCCGGGGGGGAGCGCCTCGGCCCCCGCGCGCCCCATGCGTCGCCGACAGGGACTCGGTAGCCCGCTCCGCCCAGGAGCGTGCGGCTTCGATGTCTGGGGCCCATCGCCGATCTCCCTCCTCCCTCCTCCCCCTCCCTCCCCTCCCCCCCCTCCCTCCTCCCCCTCTCCTCCCTCCTCCCTCCCTCCTCCTCCTCCCTCCTCCCTCCTCCCTCCTCCCTCCTCCCTCCTCCCTCCTCCCTCCGATCGCAAACATGGATTTGAGGGGGCGTGGTGCAGCAACGGGCCCCGTTTCCACGGGGAATCGCGGATTCCCGCCGCCGAGCGAGGCGAGGCCGGGCGCATCTCGGGGAGGGCACCTCCCCCGATCCAAGGCTTAGGCGGCCGCGCTCCCAATCCGTGGATCGCCGATCCATGCTTGCGCGCCCCCGACCATCGGCGATGCATTGACGAACGAGCAACACACACCCATAATTACCTATAAGGAGGTCGGAGGGAGAAGGACTGGCTGTGGGTATGGGTGCGGGTTGTCGGAGCCCTGCGGAGGCTCCCGTTCGAGCGGGGACCCCATCCGACAACACGCACCCATAGCTCATTCCGCCCCCCTTATGGGTATGGGTGCGTGTTGATCGTTCGTCATGCATCGCCGACCTTGGCTCGGTGTTGCCCCTCCCCCGTGAGCCAGTTCCCACCCCACGCCGGAGGCGGGCGGCGGGAGGTGTCGAGGCGGGACGGGCCCGCTCAGGGTCGAGGGGGTCGCTCTCCTTATATCCTGAAGTCGGGCGTGTCCCTCTCTACAGGACGAGTAGTCTTAAGTCGGGCGTGTCCCTTATCCTTAAGCCGGGCGTGTCCCTTATCCCGAAGTCGGGCGTGCCCCTCCCTTATCCTTAAGCCGGGCGTATCCCTAAGCTGGGCTAAAGTACGCACAAAAATAGCCTGAGGACGAGGTTTGGAGTCGTTCTGCATATGTTTGAAATATTTGCTCCTACTCGAAATTTCCTCCGAAGCCCGCCTGTGGGGGGGACAGGCCCGACCCGACCCTGTCCCGGGCGCCCCACGCCTCGAGCACCAGGCCTAGGAGGTGTTTCGCCTCTGTCGGCCCAGTGGGGCCCTCGCGGGGCCCTCTTGGACCGTCAGGGCTCTGAGTGAAAAGCCGGCCGGGCGAAAGGGGGGGATTGGGAAAGGGGGGAATACGAAATTTGCTGCATGCAGCTGATTTCGGCCTCACCGATGGGGCCCCATTCCTCGATACTTGGGCGCCTCCCGGCGCCGGGAGGCGCCGGGAAAATCAGCTACGTGAGCTGATTCTCAAACCCCCCCTTTGCTATCCCCCCCTTTCGCCCGACCCGAGAAAAGCTGGCCCTGGGTCAGCCACGCGCAGAAGGGGGGTAATTAGGGGGAGGGGGGGCGGGCTTCTCAGAGGCACCCCTGCTTTTCTCAGGAGGCGCGGGCCTTCTCTGCAGACGTAGGGCCCGCGTCTTCTAGGGAGCGAGGCCTCCTTCTGAGAAGCCTTCCCGCCCTCCCCCTAAACCCCCCCCCTCCTGCGCGCCGCCAGCTGGGGGGGCCAGGGCCGAGACCTCTGGGGCCCCCCACACGCCGAGAAGCCAGGGCGGCGGAGCTCGGGGGCGGGGCCTTTCCGGAGTGCCCACAGGACGGCCTTCCAGACCTGCAGGCCAGAGTTCGCGTGCAGCACGCGTTTTGGCATCACAGTGGAGGCCCATGCCCCAAGAAACACCCCGCTAGTCTCCAGGGGAGCCCTTGGGTTTCGATGGCTTTGCTACGGAAAGCGCGGGGTTCGACGGCTTTGCTACGGAGAGCGCGGCGCTCCCGCACCAAAAGTTCGATGGGCGTGCTGGGGTCTCAGGGTTGGGTTCCTCGTGGAAGGTTTCCTGTGGACTGGCCACCAGCGTATCTTCCCCCTGGAAGGCCACTGGGGCCTCGACGTGGCCTGCTCACCCTGGCCTCCTGGCGAAGCGCCCGCGGAGACGCCCGCGGGGCCTCCGGGGGAGCTGGGCCCAGAAGCCCGCGGGTGGCCCCCCGCTGACCAGGAGGGCCGCAAGGGAGGGCGGAACAACCCACATCTCTGGCGATATTCGGGCGGGTGGTGCTCGGGGGTGTAGGGGGCCACATGCGAGCCCTACCCCTGCCCCCCACGGTTTCTGAGGGGGAGGGCGGGGTTCCTTTCGCTCGAGGGGCACCCCCGAACGAAGTGAACCCCTCCCACCCCCTCTGAAATCGTGGGGGGCAGGGGTAGGGTTCGCATGTGGCCCCCTACACCCCCCCGCACCACCCGCCCGAAGATCGCCAGAGATCTTAGTTTCTCCGCCCTCCCTTTCGGTCCTCCTCCTCCTCCTCCTCCTCCTCCTCCTCCTCCTCCTCCTAGGGTAGGGTTCGCATGTGGCCCCCTAGGGTGGCTCACAGTTGGCGGGGGGGGGGGGAAAGGGCCCCAAAGAGGCCCGTGAGGGCCCCTCTGGGAGCCAGCAGGGGCCCAGAGAAGGGGCTCCCTCTACGGCTCTTCCCCTCCCCCTAATTGAAGTCACCTCCCCTTAACTACCCGCCCGAGAAGTGTTTGTTTTGTTTTGTTGTTATTGTTGTTGTTGTTGTTGGTGTTGTTGTTGTTGTTGTTGTTGTTGTTGTTGTTGTTGTTGTTGTTGTTGCTGCTGTTGTTGTTGTTGTTGTTGATGTTGATGGTGATGTTGATGTTGTCGTTGCTGTTGTTGTTGTTGTTGTTGATATTGTTGTTGATATTGTTGTTGTTGTTGTTGTTATTGTTGTTGTTGTTGTTGTTGTTGTTGTTGTTGCTGTTGTTGTTGTTGTTGTTGTTGATGTTGATGTTGATGTTGATGTTGTTGTTGCTGTTGTTGTTGTTGATATTGTTGTTGTTGTTGTTGTTGTTGTTGCTGTTGTTGTTGTTGTTGTTGTTGTTGTTGTTGTTGTTGTTGTTGTTTGACTATGTGCTGGTTTCTTTGAATTCGGTCTCTGGGGCCCCCGGGGCCATCGAACGTGGATCCGGGAACTGCCCCCGTGGGAAGGGGGCCGCGCATAGAACATGTACATCGTCGGATGCCGGGGGGGGGGGCGACAGTAGTCTTAGCCCATATCGAAGCAGCAGCAAAAGCATAGACATAATACAATAGTGAATTCATTATACTAGTAAGCATAATAACACAACTAAGCATACTACTACTACTACTACTATTAACAATAATGCTGATCATAATAGTACTAATACTACTACTACTACTACTACTACTACTACTACTACTACTACTACTACTACTACTATTACTAATAATACTAATACTAATAATAATAACAATAATAATTCTAATAATAATACTAATAATAATACTAATACTGATACTAATACTAATAATAATAATACTACTAATAATAATAGTAATAATAATAATATTAATAATAATACTAATAATAATAACAAGAACAATGACAATAATAATGACGTAGTACCCCGCAGATGCGGATCAGAGTGAGGGGGCGGTGGGGACGTCGGCAGTCTGCGAGACTCTGGAGAAGCCCGCCGCAGTCGCCAAAGTTTCACAAATTATACAAGAAGCCCGCCGCAGGCGCCGATTTTCTCTTCAAACCAGTGTGGATCGGTCGCGGGTGGGTCGCGGGTGGGTCGCGGTCGGGTCGCGGGTTGGGTCGCAGGTGGGTCGCAAGTGGGTCGCCGGTGGGTCGCGGGGTGGGTCGCGGATGGGTCGCGGGGTGGGTCGCGGGTGGGTCGCGGGGTGGGTCACGGGTGGGTCGCGGGTGGGTCGCGGGGTGGATCGCGGGTGTGTCGCGGGGTGGGTCGCGGGTGGGTCGCGGGGTGGGTCGCGGGGTGGGTTCCAGGGTGGGTCGCGGGGTGGGTCGCGGGTGGGTCGCGGGGGGGACGACAACAAACAACAACAACAACAACAATAACAACAATAACAACAGTAACAACAGCAACGCAACAATCATATTCCTCACCACGGATTCTCACTTCAGCCACGCACGCAGGGACAATGAATGACCGTTCGACCCCCTCACTCTGATAATGACAATAATATTGTTTTCCGTACTATTCAGGATTATTTTACGAGTAACACCAATACGAATAATGATATCAATAGTTAGCATTCACAATAAACGTATTACTGCTAATACTTCGGAGACCAATAATCGCAACAACAATAATAATCAAAGCTAATCGTACGAATAGTGGTCGTAGTAGTAATAAAGCCATCGTAATCGTAACAACAACGATAATCATAGCTAATCGTACGAAGAGTGGTCGTAGTAGTAATAAAGCCATCGTAATCGTAACAACAACAATAGTTATAGCTATTCGTACGAATAGTGGTCGTAGTAGTAATAAAGTTTTCGTAAGAACAATAGGGAGCAACAATACGATGACGAATAATATAAGGAATACGCGTAAGAAGCAACACAGCAAAAAAAAACGAATGGGTTCGCGCTGCCCCCGCCCCTCCCTGGTGCGCGGGGCGCGCCGAGCGCCGGAGGCGCCGCCAGTTGGTCTGGGGCGGCCGCCGCAGCAGACTGCTGCCGTCTTGACTCCACAAGTGAGGGGGGAAGTGTTGCTCAAGCAGTGACGAAGCGTCCTGGCTCGCCTATAGCCCTACCGAACAATGTTCTAAGAACCTTTTGTGGTTTCCACGAAATGTTCTTAGAACATTTCTGGCCGGGAGTGTCTTGATTTAACGCATCGGGTTTATGTTCTAAGAACATTGTGTTTTTTTCTGATTCGAACATTTTTGGGTTCTAAGAACGTTTCGTGGTAGGACTATAGGAATGCTGGGACGGTCGGTCCCTGCTCAAGTTGCTGTGGCGTGGAAGGCTCTGAGATCCGACGTTGGAAACATGCAACATCGCGAACAATCGCTTCGGAGGGCGTGCCCGAGGACGGCAGCATTCCCAGGGATCGCCCAACCAGTCCCTGAGGAGGGAGGAGACGTGGGAGCCTCCTGGTTCCTCGCCCTGGAGGTCGGCACACCTGCCGCGGTGGGTGCGCCAAGAAAGCCGCAGGCTAACTGACTGGTTGTCTTAGACAACCAGTCACAACTGGAGCCCTAGAGAACCCAGCGTTCTGCTGCATTTTTCGAGCCAGATGGGTCTGTGATGATCCCGGGGCCCGAGCGGGCGAAAATGCGAGGCGCGAACAGCAATGCAACGCCAGCATCTCAGGGGAGATTCTCACTCGCCTGCGTCCCGAGGGCTGGTGGGACTTCGGACCAGGCACTCCGCCCATCTGTACTGCTGCAGCTGGCCAGAGAGGCCTCGCGGGCTCCCGGACCCGGCCCCGTGATGGAGTCGGTGACCGATGGCGACCGCACGCTCGCTGTGCACAGCAAGGCCTGGGGGGATGGATTGCCACTTGCTGCGCCGTTCTCAGATCTCCGGCGATGTCATATTTTTTCCATTCGGCTGGGTGTCTCTTCAGGATTTCGGCCCCCGGGGCCCGTGCTCTGGCTCCATGACAATCAAACATGCACCTGGGAAAAACGGCTACTCCCAGGGAAGGAATCGCGTTCTCTTGGGGGCCGTGCGGAGAAACCTATTGTCGGATGTTTGGCTAACATATTGTCGGATGTTTTGGCTTCGACCTTCCGGATGACAGCAGCAGTTTTTTTCTTGGAGGCCGGGGAAGGCCCAAGCTCGAATCTCCGATGCCCTACTTGTTCAAGACTGGGCCCTGGGCAAGTCCTCACCCGTTCCCCAGGGCAGTCTTCTCATCCCGAGGTGAACGTTTTTTTATTCATGTTTTTGCCGATCGGCGCGGGCCCCCCAACCCCCCCCCTCCCCCCCCATGGAGTAGATCTTGGCTGTTTTGTGCGCCTGCTTCGAGCAGGTGGAGTCTCCCATCATAGGACCCACTGCTGCAAACAGGCGCACCAAGCAGAGGTCCGGAGCCAGACCACCCCCTCCCCCCCTTCCGCCCACTGTCGAAACGCCGAATAACAAAAACGACCACGAGTTTTTTTTGTTTATGGTCTAGGGGTCTGGTGAGGGCTTCCACAGGCCTGCCACGGGGACGAGCACGACGCCGTGGATGTTTCGCGAGACCCGGGGAGGGCTGGGGTCCGCTGCGCCTTGCCGAGGACCCTCCTCACGGACGAAGCAGAGACAGCCACAACCGCTTCGGGTGGGAGGAGGAGGAGGAGGAGAAGGAGAAGGGGGAGGTGGAGGAGGAGGCGGGGCAGGGGGAGGAGGAGGAGGAGGAGCAGGAGGAGGAGGAGGAGGAGGAGGAGGAGGAGAGGAGGGGAGGAGGAGGAGGAGGAGGAGGAGGAGGGGAGGAAAGAGGGAGGTGGAGGAGGAGGCGGGGCAGGGGGGAGGAGGAGGGAAGAGGAGGAGGAGGAAGAGGAGGAGGAGGAGAAGAGGAGGAGGAGGAGAGGGAGGAGGAGGAGGAGGAGGAGGAGGAGGAGGAGGCGGTGGAGCTTTGGGTTTAAGGAGGGGACGGCTCAGGGAACCGCCCCAGGCGCCCCCCTGAGGCCGACCCCGACCCGCCAGCGGTGATGACCTGCGCGCGGCACTCGGCACCGAGCGCCGCGCGCAGGCCACCACCGTGTGGGGTTCGGGGTCGGCCTTGGGGGATGGGCCTGGGGCGGCCCCTCGGCCCAGAGGTTGTGGTTGCTTCTCCTTCGCTCCGGATCTCCCGCAGTGTCCGAGCCGCCCCCAGAAAGCGCCACCAAGATGCCCTGGAGGTTGTGCCTCTCGAGACGTCTGCGTGGCACCGCCCGCGCCTCCCAGGCGCCTGTTCCAGGCTTCCGCACGGAGCCTCCCGGGGCTTCCGTTCGTCAACAAAACAAAAGCGCCCCTACCCCTTTTGAGCGCTCACCGGCAAAGGCGAAGGATTCCCAGAGGTCCGAAGTCGTTCCTTTTTCAAGGCGAGGTCCCCAGAAGAGCCGCCCCTTTCCCCTGCGCCGGCTTTCCGTCCTGAGCAGCTTTTTGACGGCAGGGCCAAGCGATGGCCCTAATGGGCCGAAAACTGCGAAGAACCTCTTGTCTTACTTAACCCAAGGCGTTTGAGGTCTGTTTTCTTTTGAAGGCCATTCTTCTTTATTGCCCTCGTGGGCCTCCTGGTGGGCATCCTCTGGGCCCCGAGCCGCCCGAGGGAGCCAGGCGCCTCTCCGGGACGGGCCCTTCTGGGAGCTTTCCTTGGGGCTTCTTTCTTTGAGCTCTGTGGGACGCTCCGGATGTGTGTCGTCGATCTCGGCCCCCCAAGGGGCCCGCGGGTTCGGGCCCCAGGGGCATCACACTTGGGATCCATCGGGGGTGGGCAGATACCCCCAACAGTGACACGTCGAGTAGTGAATTGTCCGTTCTCTGTTCCTGAGAGGGCGCCGTGGCCGTGCTTTTCCACGCTCGCGCCCGCCAGGTTTGGGCCTCGGGTCGTTTTCACTAAAATCACGTTTTACTAAAGGGGGGTCTGTCCATCCCCGAATGTCCCGTGCGAGTTAGCTGGCGGCGGAGGGTCTCTTGTTCTCGAAGGGTGTTCCTCTGTTCCTCGAAGTATTATTAGTATTATTAGTGTTATTAATATCATTAGTATTATTATTAGTATTAGTATTATGATTATTATGATTATTATGAATATTAATATTATTTGTACTACTAGTATTATTAGTATTATTATTATTAAGCCACGCTTTGCTAAAGGGGGGTCTGTCCAACCCCGATTATTTGAGCTCTGTGGGACGCTCTGGGTGTGTGTCGTCGGTCTCGGCCCCCCAAGGGGCCCGCTTTCGGGCCCCTTGGGGCATCACACTCGGGATCCAGCACGACGATCTGGCCCGGGGCACGTACGTGGGGTCTGGGACGCCCGCCGAAGGCAGGGCAGGCGACCGGGCGACAGAAATCACGCATAATTCCCTCGGTGGAGCTGGCGTTTCCTGCCGGTCGGTTGCGGGCCTCCCCGGGGGTTGCGTCGGGCCTGTCCCTCTCTACAGGAGGAGAGTTCAAACATCAAAAAACAAAAATGCGCAGGGGACGATGTGTTCGACTAGTGTTGAGCCTTTCGAGAGTACTCGTTGGGGGTATTTTGTGGAAGTTTCGCCCAACATCCGCCCGTAGGGGGACAGGCCCGACCTAGAGCTATAGCGTTTCCTTTGGCGGCGCGCAGAAGGGGGTAGGGGGAGGGGGGAAGGCTTCTTAGAAGGAGGCTGCTTCTTAGAAGGCGCCGGCCTTACATCTACAAAGAAGGCCCGCGCCTTCTAAGAAGCAGGGGTGCTTCTAAGAAGCCTTCCCCCCTCCCCCTACCCCCTTCTGCGCGTGGCCAGTTCCTGTTGGTGGCGGGCCTCCCGCTCCCGGGGGCCCACAGCTTGCGGGCGAAGCGCCTCTTCGGAAGAGCACCGTGCCTGGGTCGGAGGTCGAGAGTTAAGTCGGGCCTGTCCCCCTACAGCGGGATTTTCGACGAAGAATCAAAAATACCCAAAAAATGATTCAAAAATTGTCCAAAAATAGTCTGGGGACTATTTTTTGATTATTTTTTTACTACTTTGGGGTATTTGTGTTTTTATATATTATTTGTCGTGGAAAATCCCCCTGTAGGGGGACAGGCCCGACGTAAGTCGAGAGACCTCCTACCCTGACACGTCGAATACAGTGGGGGCGCGCATCAAGAGACCATATGCTTTTCGTCAGGGCATGCCGGGTTTCTTCGCTCCTCGCGCTGCGCGGTGACTTCCCGCGGCCGTGGAAGGAGCTGCTGCGTTCAGGGTGCTCCGGGTTTCCCCTCAGGTGCACCTCGCGCTCGGGTTCTCAGGGTTGGGTTTCTTGCGAGGGTTTCTTGCGGCCGCGCCCACACTGTAGCGAATTGGCCGTTTTCGGTTCGCGAGAGGGCGTCGCGGCCGTCATTTTTGCGGCTCTAAGTCCGTCGGTTTCGGTCCTGGGTCGTTTTCACTAAAGTCTGGACGCCCGAAACGGGTACGGAAACAATGGGTACAATGCCGAACAACAAATGTTGTCCAAAACCAACAGCGGCCGCTGTTGCGCAGGCGGCTTGTTGTATTCAAAGAGCAACGTCCGCGGCGGCGCGGACAGCGAGTCCTATTCAAAATGAACATTGACTGCTGTTAGGCATTGTATCCATTCTTTCAGTGCCCGTTTCGATCGTCCCGAGAAAGGGAGGTTTACGAAAGGGATGTGTGTCCACCGCCGACAGGGGGAACCCTCACGTCCCTGCCAAACCCTGTTCATCAATGGCCCCGAGCCACGGCACACGCAATTCCGTCTTCGGCCTCAGTTGGAACGTCCGAGGCCCTCGCGTCCTTTTACCAAGCAGCGTCCTCGTGATGACCCAGTCGCGCTGCGCAGTAGGGGCCCGACCACAGGAAGCCTTCCACAAGACGGAGGAGGAGGAGGAGGAGGAGGAGGAGGAGGAGCCCAACCCCGAGACCCCCGGACGTCCACCGATTCGCGGTGTGGTGACGCTACGCTTCTCATGGCCAGACCATCGACACCCAAGACGCGCAGCTCAGAGGTGACCAAAAAATGGCAGAGTTTGCGTTCCAGGGCATTTTCTTTTGCGGCGTTGGGCGCCCTGGCGCGGACGGCCGAACGACCCCTGCAGCGGGACACCCTGCCCACACGGTCGGCGCCGCCAAAACTGCGCGTTCAACCGCGCAAAGTACGCACCGAAAGGCACCCTGGAGGCAAGCAGGGTGTTCCTTGGCATGGGCCCCCCCCCCCGGCATGCCATGCCCGGGGGAGCCCTCCGCGGCCAGCGCGGTCGACGAGCGGGCCCCTCCTCCCCGACGCCCCGCGGGGCTCGGGTGCTGCCAGAGGTGCCCGTGGCCCCAGGGTGTCTCCAGGATCTCCAGGGAGCCCCCCCCCCCGTGGCCTCACTCCTCCTCCCCCTCCTCCTCCCCCTCCTCCTCCTCCTCCTCCTCCTCCTCCTCCTCCTCTCCTCCTCCTCCTCCTCCCCTACCCCAACACCTCCCCTCGTTGCGCAAAGCCAGCGACGGAGGGCCTCTGCTCATTTTCGGGCTCAGGGGCCCTTGACGGGGCCCCGCGCCCGTCCACATAACACGGGCTCGGGATGAAAAGCCTGTCCCAGAAGTGGGAGAGGAGACGAGGAGGAGGAGGAGGAGGAGGAGGAGGAGGAGGAGGAGGAGGAGGAGGAGGGGGAGGAGGAGGAAGACGAGGAGGAGGAGGAGGAGGAGGAGGAGGAGGGGGAGGAGGAGCAGGAGGAGGAGGACAGTGGACAACAAATCACGACGTCGGAGTTCTGGGGCCCACGGCCTCCTGCAGCGCCCCTCGCGAGGCCCAGCAGCAGGGTGGAGCTTCACGCCTCTGCGCGACCGGCTGCGGGCCCTGCGCCTGCGGGTCCGATCGCGGACGCCCCTCCGCTGGGGGTTCTAAAACGACGCGAAGATCGGGACAAAATCAGATCGGGATAACTCGAAATCTCTGAGAATCGGCAGGTTTGGAGGATGCATTGGGCGCCGCGGCCGCTCCAGAGCGTTCCGGAACGCTCTGAGAGCGCTCCTGAACGCTCTAGAGCGATTTATCCCGATCCTAGCCCTGTTTTACGCCCCCGCTGGGGGTGCGCCTGGCTGCAGGCACCCTTCAAATTCTGAGCCCCGGTCGGTTTTTCAGCAGTCTGACCTGCAGTCCTACAGCGGGCTGCTTGAGTAAGGGACACTTGCTTTTTCAAAAGGGGCTCGGCCGTCCCTTAGGCTTGCATGCGTTATGATCGTTCCCTATGCGTTATTTTTTATTCATCGTTCCTTGTGCGTTATCCCTTGGGAGAAGAGGAGCTTCGTTCTTTGTTTATCGTTCCTGAGGTCAGACCGATGACTGTAGGGTTGACTTTTGGCTGCCTATGGCCCCCCTTCAGCACAGCCTCCTTCGCGTCGTGAGAGAATCACGGCGCAGGGTCTATGACCAGTCTCGGCCTCCGCGGCCCCCTGCCGGGCCCGGGGGATCGTTACCGCCTCGGGAGCAGTGGCGAAGCGTCCTGGCTCGCCTATAGGCCCACCAGATACTCTTCTAAGAACTTTCTGTGGTCTGCACGAACTGTTCTCAGAGCATTTCTGGCTCAGACTGGCTTGTTTAATCACAGCGGGATATCATGTTCTGAGAGCACCGTTCTTGCTCTTAGAACGTTTTTGGGGTTCCAAGAGCATCTCGTGGTAGGGTCATAGGAATGCCGGGACGGCCGGTCCCTGCTCAGAGGAAGAGCTGGCCCCAGGGAAGGGGTGGAGACCTCCAGGTGCCCAGGCCGCTGGGAAGACCACGACGCGGGGGCCCTTTGCCGGGCCCCGGGATTGTCAAGGGCCGCCTCGGGATGAGGAGCCGGCCCCGGGGAAGCGACGTCGAGGCCTCGGGCTGCCCGCGCTGTGAGAAAACCTCTCAAGCAGTGGCGAAGCGTCTCCTGGCTCGCCTATAAAGCCCCACCAAGCAGTGTTCTATAAGAACCGTTTGTGGTTCCCACGGGATGTTCTCAGAACATTTCTTGCTGGGGCTGTCTTGTTTTACCACATCGGGTTGATGTTCTGAGAGCATTCTTCTTAGAGCATTTCTGGGTTCTAAGAACACTGCGTGGTAGGACTGTAGGAATGCCGGGACGGTCGGTCCCTGCTCAGACCTCGTGGTCGGGGCGGGGGCCGTCGTAGGGCCTTCAGGGAGCATGCGAGCGGCCATCCGGATGATCGATCGCACGGGCGTCCTCCCACCTCTCCGTGCTTCTTGCGGGCTCGCTTCTCGCTCGTGCATGCACGGCCATGCACGTTTGATTGAAACGGTCCTGTGCTCTCGTCGACTCTTCTGAATTTTCCTTGTCTGCTGGTAGGCACGTCCGTGCCCGCCTTCACCAGTCGGCACATCTGAGGTCGAACTCCTCGGACAGGGTCTTATGCATGGTTGCTCACGCATGCGACGACGGAACACATGATGAGGGACAGACAGAGAGAAGAAGGGAGTGAGGAGAAATAGGACTATGATGAGAATGACGAGGAGGAGGAGGAGGGGAACAAACAAGAGTGATGATAAGCAGGATGAGGACTAAAGGAGGCGTAAGCCTAACACCATTGCCAATACAAACGCTTCAGCTCATTGTGCTCATGCTGTTTCAACACTGCTTAAAATGTTGCCCAAGCGCGCTGAACAGATGTATGATGATTACCAGTGACTTCGCGATTTGAGTGATGGGTGCATCCTTCGGATGAACAGTGTTTGAGGATATCTCACGCGAAACTGTCATCCATATCGCAAGCAACCTCGCCATGAATCGGCTCTGAGCTCTACTCCCTTGAGGAGGTGCGTATGAGGAACGTGCTTGAGTGCTCCTTGGTGTTGATGGTTTGGCTCGCGCTTATCTTACCGTTGTGCGCTCTTGAGCGCTCGTGTTATGTCCATTCCATTGATTTGCTGCGGGCTTGTCTGGCTTATAACTGCACCTGTGTCCTTCCAGGCCTAATCCTCGCGTCGGGGCAGGGGTCCCTGCTTTGGAGAGCGATGCCGCAGGGGAAAGGTTTGTGTGTGTGTTGTGTGTGTGTGTGTGTGTGTGTGTCTGTGTGTGTGCGTGTGTCTGTGTGTGTGTGTATGTGTGTGTGTGTGTGTGTGTGTGTGTGTGTGCGTGCGTGCGTGTATGTGTGTGTGTGTGTGTGTGTGTGCGTGCGTGTGTGTGTGTGTGTGTGTGTGTGTGTGTGTGTGTGTGTGTGTGTGTGTGTGTGGGAGGGGGTCACAGTGGCTCGTGGGATCTGCTCAGAGGGGGTGAGGCAGTTGCGCTGCGCGGGGCAGCCTCGGGCGGGGGGCCCTCGTCGACACGGCTCGCGGCAAAACCAGCTGACCAGGATATTGTCCACGATGGAGATGTGGACATATTCAGAGGTGTTTCGGGCTTTCTTTTTTCTGTCAGGTGTGTGTGTGTGCGTGTGTGTGTGTGTGTGTGTGTGTGTGTGTGTGTGTGTGTGTGTACGTGTCTGTGCGTGCGTGTGTGTGAGGGAGAGTGAGAGTGTGTGTGTGTGTGTGTGTGTGTTCGTGCGTTTGGCCTTTCGGTCCTACCTGCACCCACTGCGCCTCGCCTTGTCCTTCTCGCACCGTCGGCGATGGCACCGCCTCGTCCTCCTCCTTCCTCTCTCCCCCCCGCAGCCCTCGCCCTGGTGGAGGAGGAGGAGGAGGGGGGGACGAGGAGGAGGAGGAGGAGGAGGAGGAGGAGGAGGAGGAGGAGGAAGAGGGGGGGGAGAGGGACGAGGAGGAGGAGGAGGAGGAGGAGAGTGCCCAACACATGGCTGATCCCTCCGGGTGGACCCCTGTCCCCGGCTTCTGAGTGGGTGCCGGCCGCGCGCGCGCTTGCCCCTCCGAACTTCTGCGCCTCGACGCTGCGCGCGAGGCCGCGACGTCCAACAAGAGTGTGCGTGCGTGCGTGCGTGCGTGCGTGCGTGCGTGCGTGCGTGCGTGTGTGTGTGTGTGTGTGTGTGTGTGTGTGTGTGTGTGTGTGTGTGTGTGCGTGCGTGCGTGCGTGCGTGCGTGCGTGCGTGCTTGCGTGCGTGCGTCGTCATAGGCATATCTCGATATGCTTTGTCTGTGCGCGTCGCAGAGCGTGTCACGCTCGAGTGTCACACTGGGCGTCCAACCGCACTAGCCGGACGTGTGCCTCCTCTTTACGGGTCGATGCGGCTGTCGGGCCCGTAGTTCTGGCTGAGGCCACGTGGGCTCAAGCGGGCAACTTTCGTCAGGCTGCATGCCCCTGGGGGCACCGCCCCCCGCGACCGAGGCCGCGTGTCTCTGCGGTGCGCCTGCTGTTCGGTCTGCTTCGGTTCTGGTTGCGACAGAGCAGGGCGACCTGCTGGTCTTTGGCGGGGAGGCCGATGTGCACCAGCACCGGGCTGGGCGTGGCTTGGGCGACGTGTGGACCCTGCGCCCGCCGTCGGGCGGCTGGGAGCCGCACTCGTGCCCGCAGGTGCGATGGGCCGGGCCCTGGAAGTGCCACGCGACAGCTGGCGAGGCGGTCCCCACTGCACGCTCCAACCACGCGGCCGCCTCGTGCGGCGAGCACCTCTTCGTCTTCGGCGGGTGGTCGTCCGACGGGCGCCGCCCGCTCGCGCACCCGGAGCTGCTGCACCTGGGCACGCGGTGCTGGACGGAGTGTGCCACAACAAATGCGCCGCCCCCGCCTCGCGGCAACCCGTCGCTCGTCTACTCGGCGCCTCGGCACCTGGCCGTTGTCTACGGCGGCTGGGACCTCCGCGAGCGGCTGGACGACGTCTGGTGCCTGGACATGGAGAGCTGGACGTGGCACAGAGCGGCGCTGCGCGGCGGCCACGGGCGCGTCGATGCCGACGACGACGAGGCGCCCTGCGCGCGCACCGACCACGCCGCGGTGCTGTGGCAGGAGGGCCCCCAGCGCGAGCACATGCTCGTCTTCGGCGGCTCCACGGGCGAGGGCGCCAGCGACGAGCTGTGGTCGCTGGACTGCTCTGGCGGCGAGCCTGCGGAGTGGCGCTGGGCGGACAAGACTCGGGTGCTGCCACGGGTGTCTCTGGCTCAAGGTGTCCCCAGGACCTCCAGGGAGGCCGCCGCGGCCTCCAGAGCACCCCCCACGAGGCCCAGAGGGCCCGAGGGCCTCCACAATGGAGCGAGGGGCTGGGGGCTCCTCTTGGGGCCAGGGACACCTCTGGCAACCCCCGACCAGACGGCGAGGAGCAGCGGCGGCCCGTGGCCGGCCCCGAGGACCTCGCACACGGCCAGCGTCGCCGGCTCCGGCGAGGGCGCGAGGCTGCTCGTAGCGGGCGGCCAGGACCAGCGCCTCGGCGCGGGGGCCGCCGCGGTCCTGGCGGACGCCTGGGTGCTCGGGCCGCTCGGCTCGCCGCTGCGGCTGTGGAGCAGGCTGGAGTGGGCGGGCACCTACCCGCTGCAGCGGTGCCGGCACTCGGCGGCGGTCGTCGGCGGGCTGGCCGTGGTCTTCGGCGGCTACGACGGCGTGGGCACCATCGACGAGCACCACTCGCTCTTCTGCGCCCCGCTGGAGCTCGCGGGGGGCGCGGCGGGCGTGCCGCCCCGCGGCGGTGGCGGCGCGGGGGGCTCCCCGGTGGAGGCCGACAGGCCCGTCACCGAGCGGGAGCTGCCTGCCGAGGCGCGCGCGAGGGCGGGGCGCAGCGGCCTGCCGCTCGCGATGGCGAAGGCTCTGCACCGGCACGCGCTGGGCTGCCGGCCGCCCCGGGACACGTACATTTTGGCTACGGCGTGGGCGCGCTGGTCGTTGGAAGTAGGTCGCCGCATCCCCCGGATAGTCGTGATACCCCCCACCTTGCCCCCCGAGAATTGATTATCCCCGGCCAATGCAGATCTGGTCGGGGAAGAGGGGCGGCAAGGCCGAACGTGATAATCGCGGGGGGGAGTTGCGAATCGAATTTGTTTTTTTATGTTGAGTAGCAAGGGTTTCTAAGGATTCTTATTGATGTTCTCAGGAATCCGATGGATGTCCCAAGGAATCCTATGGATGTCCGAGGGAATCCTGCAGATTTCCTGAGAAATCATATGGCTTTCTGGAGGAAGCCGACAGATTTCCTACGGAAGCACATGGGTTTACTGCAGATTCCTATGGATTTCCAAATGAGTCCCATGGATTCCCGAAGGAATTCATTTGATTTCTAAAGGAGTCTGGAATTTTCTCTAAAGAATCTGGTGCAGTTCCTCAGGAATCCAAAATAGTCGTTCAGGAACCCGATGGATTTCCCGTCCGAAGAAATCCGATGGATTTCTTCGGGAACCCGATGGATGTATTATAGGTTTTTTTTCAGGGAGTCAATGGATGTCTTCAGGAATCTTGTAGATTTCTGGATGAACCCCATGTATCTCATAAGGCGTCTTATGAATTTCCGACGGTCTACTCGTACTTCTCTTCCGTGCGCTCCCGCCCCGAACTTTTGTTAATCCCGTTTTTTGTTGTTTTTCCATCACGGCAAACGGACCGCCATGGACTCCTACAACACACGTGCAGTTGAAACATGTTTATAAAACAAGAATTGAGTTTTACACATACAAGTCCCGAATCGAAGTTTTTGTTGGGACAACTGGCCCTGGGCTTCCTCGCTCTCCTGCTCCTCCTCCCTCTCCTCCTCCTTTCCTCCTCCTCCTCCTCCTCCTATGGATTTCCTGAGGAATCTTATCGAATTCCTATGGAATCCTATACATTCCCGGAGACATCCCCTCAGGAACCCCAACGATTTCCAAAGGAACCCAATGGATTTCCTACAGAGTCCTATGGATTTCCCAAGGAGCCCTATGGATGTCCACAGGAATCCAATGCATGTCCTTAGGATTCCAATGGATTTCCGGAAGAATCCTATGGATTTCCAAAGGAATCCGATGAATGTCCGCAGGAAGCTTCTGGCTTTGCCAAGGAATCTTAAGGATTCCCGAAGGATCCTATGGAGTTCCGAAAAGACTTCGTATGGATGTCTTAAGGGTTCTTATGAACGTTCAGGATCATCTTGATAATCATTATCATCAGCATCAGCATCAGCATCAGCATCAGCATCAGCATCAGCATCATCATCATCATCATCATCATCATCATCATCATCATCATCATCATCATCATCATCATCAGCATCATCATCATCATCATCATCGTCATCATCATCGTCAGCATTATCATCATCATCACCATCATCATCGTCATCACCATCGTCGTCATCATCGTCAGCATCTTCATCATTCTGCTGAGATCTCCGGGAGACAGGTGTATTATGCCTCCTGCACCCCGAACTTTCTTATTCCCCGGGGATTTATATCAGGAGCACAGGGTTATATCTGGATTTCCAGATCCCGATCTACTTCAAGCGCCCTCCTACTGCAAGAGGCGATCTGACTTTGGCCGTGCTCTGCTGTTCTCTTGGGGGGGGGCCTGAGCCCAACCTGCTTTCCCCGCCGTCCTACTGCACGCTTACCTGCTTCTTCGGGCCGACGTGTAAGAGCTTACCAGCCTCGAGCGTGTCCCTATCCCTAAGATTGACACGCCAAAGGGCGATGACAATCTTAGGGATTCGCCCTCAACAAATAAGGGACCCCCTACGATTGGCATCGTGATGAGGAGGTGCCCAGCATGGAAGCATTTAAGAACCCCCCCCCCTCCGGCAAATCGATAACCCTTCCGCACCCTGGAAGCGTTACCTGGCACCAGGAGCATCATCATCATCATCATCATCATCATCATCATCATCATCATCATCATCATCATCATCATCATCATCATCATCATCATCATGTCCGGGTGCTCAAGCTATCGTCCGGTTATTTCGGCCCCTCGGAATATCGAATAAAAAATGCGGTGCTACGATATCGCCGGGGGGGTTCTTAAATGCTTCCTGGGTTAGGGATAGGGATATGCTCCAGGCTGGCAGAGAGCGACCTCTCGCCGGAGCGACCCCTTGCTGCGGGCCCACACAGGGGGGCCCCTCCGGCGCCGGCCTGCGCGCCTGGCTCCGGCGCCCCCAGCGGCCCCCCGAGGCCGCGTGCAGCCGGGGCCCCGAAGAAGGAGCCCTTTTCGTTTGGGAGGGGCTCCGTGTTCTTTACGGTAGGTTTGCGTCGTGTCGACCAGCGGCGACCCCAGCGCGGGCGTTCAAGGTTGAACGCCGCCGGCGGCCCAGAATCGGTCGATGTTGAACGATCGGACGTTGCGGCAGCGGCCGATCGTTCAAGGTTGAACGATCCAGCGCGGTGTCAGGAACCAACGCCAGGGTCGGCACGGCACGGACCTGCAGTAGTTGTTTTACAGCGCTCCTTGGGTTTTCCCCAGGTTCTCCATGGAAAATCGGAGTTCTATCTTATGGGGACAAGGGGCCTCGTTCCTTATTTATCGTTCCTTAGGTCAACGCCCCGACTGTACCGAGGGCCACTCCTGCCTACGGTTTACTTAAGTCGGGCATGCCCTTCCAAATGGCGATGACGATCTTAGGGATGCGCCCTCAACAAAGAAGGGAACCCCTACGATTGGCATCGTGACGAGGAGGTGCCCAGCGTAGGGATAGGGATATGTTCCAGGCTTGCCGGCACTGCCCAAGCATGCTCACGTCGTCGGTGAATCACACATATGCCCGTATCTTACACTTCCACCGGGAATCGCTCGCTTGGTTGGTTCCATGCTCGAGTTTTATTTGTATTTGACGCTATACATGTGTTCCACCCCACGCTTTTGTCGTTTTGAGACTTGTAAGTCTTCGTTGTTAGAGTTCCTGCGCGCGGGCTTCCCTGTCAATCTCAAAAAATGCTCATATCGTCGATGAAGCGTAAGACTCGAGTTCGCCGGAGCAGCTCGGATTTGCCGACGTCTGCCGACGAGGGTTCGTGGGATGCCTGCGAGGGTCTGCCGACGTCTGCCGACGAGGGTCTGCCGACGTCTGCCGACGAGGATCTGTTCCAGGCTGGCAGAGAGCGACCTCTCGCCGGAGCGACCCCTTTGCTGCGGGCCCACAGGGGGGGCCCCTCCAGCGCTGGCCTGCGCGCCTGGCTCCGGCGCCCCCAGCGGCCCCCCCCAGGCCGCGTACCGTCGGGGCCCTGAAGAAGGAACCCTTTTCGTTTGGGAGGGGCTCCGTGTTCCTTAGTTGGGAGGGGCTCCTCCCTCCTCCCTCCTCCCTCCTCCCTCCTCCTCCTCCTCCTCCTCCTCCTCCTCCTCCTCCTCCTCCTCCTCCTCCGCCTCCTCCTCCTCCTCCTCCTCCTCCTCCTCCTCCTCCTCCTCCTCCTCCTCCTCCTCCTCCTCCTCCTCCTCCTCCCCCTCCTCCTTTGGGAGGGGCTCCGTGTTCCTCAGTTGTTTTACAGCGCTCCGTGGGTTTTCCCCAGGTGTTCCATGGAAAACTCTGAGTTCTATCTTATGGGAAAAAAGGGGCCTCGCTCCTCATTTATCGTTCCTTAGGTCAACGCCCCGACTGTACCGAGGGCCGCTCCTGCCTACGGTTTAATGAAGTCGGGCATGCCCCTCCACGGGACGAACATTCAAACATGGTAAAACATGGTATGGGGACCACTTGTCTAGCATTGTTTGCCATCGTGGTATATCGTTTGCCTATGGTTTGTTTTTCCTTCCAAAATCCGCCTGCAGGAGGGCATGCATGTCCTAAGCCTAGGGCCCCTCTTGCCTGTAGCCGAACATCGACCCGGACACTGGCTACTCGGTCTTCACCCAGGCGTACCTGAAGCGGCGGCCGTGCTGCGGGAACGGGTGCCGCCACTGCCCGTGGGGACACGTCAACGTGCCAGGGAAGGGCGAGGCTGCCAGGGGGGTCGGGATCGAGGCGGAGAGCGTGGAGTGGTAGCTCGGCGCGCGCGACGGCGGACGCGTGCAGAGACCGAGCCAGTGCCAGGGATCTGGTGCCGCATCGTTGTTTGGCGGTGTACCTCCCAGTGCCACGTCACAAGAGGCCACCCTGGACGCTCAGACCCCTCGGGGCCTCCCCCCGTCCAGACCCAGGGCGAGGGGGTGGGGTGGGTGTATCCCTCTTCGGGCGCTGTCGGGCCGTCTTGGAGGTCCGTGGAGCCACAGTGGGGGCCTCTTTGGCCGTGTTGGGGCCCTCTTGGGCCGTCTTGCGGGCCTTGGGGGGGCCTCCTTGGGCCGTCTCGGGGCAACCTTGGTGGCCCATATGGCCGTCTTGGAGCGTCGGAAACGCCGAGAGGCGAACCCCGCGAAGAAGCCGCTCAGCATCCGTTCGAAGACCCATCCCGGGACCCCTTCCGTGCCAGTTCTGCCTCCCAGATCGATCGGGGGTGGACAGAACCCCCAACAGTGACACGCCGATTATTGTATTGTCCGTTCTCGGTTCTCGAGATAGCGCCGTGGCCGCTATTTTCCAGGCTTGCGCCCGCCAGTTTTGGGCCTCAGGTCGTTTTCACTAAACCACGTCTTACTCAGGGGGGGTTTGTCCATCCCCGAATCGAGTTCTGATGGCCCCAGTCGACGAGCAGCTCTGATTCGGCACCGCCCGGATGTGTTCATACTGCGGTGCAGGGGGGCCGCGCGCGCTCGGAGAGCATGCAATGTACGTATGCTTACGCTCAGTGGCGGGCGCCGTCTGGGCGTATCGCTTGGGCTACGGTCTGCTCTGGGATGTGTGTGCTGCATGCTCGATTCGGACGGACTCCTCCAAGAGGGGCGAGTCGTACAGGTATGTCCTTCCTCGCTCCATCGATTCAGGCCGCGAGGACACGCATATATGGGCATGCTTGTTGCTCGGGAGTGCTGCTGTCTTCTCTCACGTGGCTTTGGCCTCCATCAAATTACACCAGAGAAAAAAGCCCAATCGGTAGACGGTTTTCGCTGAGGAGATCGACCGGGAACCCGGGAGCCCGGGAACCCAGCACCCACCGAAATCGGCCCGGAACAAATAGAGCCCAGGAGCCCGGAATTGGGAACCCGGGAACCCAACTTGCTACCACAATTGGCGGGAAATGTTCGCCAAATCTTTCAATTTCCGCTCGGACCCCTTCAGTGCAAGCACTGATTGGGGAAAAGTTTACCATCCAGAAGAGAAGAGAGCCTCAGGGATGCACCCCCTAGAAGCCACTCGGACGCCACCCGATCGAGGATGGACGCCCCCCCCACGCCGTGCATCCCCTGGCTTGGCCCCTTCTGTTGTCCAGTCGAAGCTCTCGCTGTGTCGCGGGCTGGGGTTGCCGCGCCCTCGATCATGAAGTGTGGCCGTCCTCCCGCGTTCGGGCTCGGAGTGCCGTCCCTCCGCGTCATGTGCGGACTTGGGGACTTGGAGTGTGCGCCAGGAGGAGGAGGAGGAGGAGGAGGAGGAGGAGGAGGAGGAGGAGGAGGAGGAGGGGAGGAGGAGGAGGAGGAGGAGGGAAGAGGGAGGGGGAGGGAGGGAGGAGGAGGAGGAGGCCGCGTGCGACACGGCGGTGTGTGTGTGTGTGGTGTGTGTGTGTGTGTGTGTGTGTTGGTGTGTTGTGTGTGGTGTGTGTGTGTGTGTGTGTGTGTGGGGGGGGGGGGGGGGGGGGGCGGCCCCCCGGGAGGCCCCGCCTCGGGGCGATCCCCTGGGCCGCATGTGGGACCCTTTTTTGGGGGGCCGCGCCCTCAAGGCCAGCCGCCCCCTACTCCTCCTCCCTCTCCTCCCCTCCTCCCTCCTCCCTCTCCTCTCCTCCCTCCTCCCTCCCTCCCTCCTCCTCCTCCTCCCCTCCTCCTCCTCCTCCCTCCTCCCCCTCCTCCCTCTCCTCCCCCCTCCTCTCCTCCTCCTCCTCCTTCCTTCCTCCTCCTCCTCCTCCTCCTCCTCCTCCTCCTCCTCGTGCTGGGCTGCCCACAGCCACGAGGCGCGGCCGCCCTCCGTGCGCGCCCGCCCCCGGCGACAGGCGCCCTCGAAGCTGCCCTCCCTGCGCCTCGAGCAGCTGCACCTCGCCGGGCGCCTCGGGGTGCCCTTCACGACCGGGCTGCTGCTAGGCCCCCTGCCTCCTGCCTCCTCCCTCCCTCCCTCCTCCCTCCTCCTCTCCTCCTCCTCCTCCTCCTCCTCCTCCTCCTCCTCCTCCTCCCTCCTCCTCCCCTCCTCTCTCCTCCTCCTCCTCCCTTCCTCCTCCTCCTCCTCCTTCTCCGCCCCCCCTCTCTCCTCCTCCTCCTCCTCCTCCTCCTCCTCCTCCTCCTCCCTGGGCCGGGGTCTGTTGCCGGCACTGCCCAAGCATGCTCATGTTCACCAGCCTCGAACTTATCCCTATCCCCAAGATAGACGCGCCAAAAGGCGATGACAATCTTAGGGATGCGCCCTGAAAAACTGAGGGAACCCGTAAGATTGCATTGTGATGAGGCTATGCCCAGCTTAGGGATAGGGATATGTTCCAGGCTTGCCGGCACTGCCCAAGCATGCTCATTTCGTCGGTGAATCACATATACGCCCGTATCTTACACTTCCACAGGGAATCGCTCGCTTGGTTGGTTCCATGCTCGAGTTTTATTTGTATTTGACGCTATACATGTGTTCCACCCCACGCTTTTGTCGTTTTGAGACTTGTAAGTCTTCGTTGTTAGAGTTCCTGCGCGCGGGCTTCCTTGTCAATCTCAAAAAAATGCTCATATCGTCGATAAAGCGTAAGACTCGAGTTCGCCGGAGCAGCTCGGATTTGCCGACGTCTGCCGACGAGGGTTCGTGGGATGCCTGCAGCGGGAGCTCGCGTCGAACTTCAGATTGGGCCTCGTCGTTTTCATGATGGCCCCGTCAGGCCAGCCCGAGTTTCCGGGGCGGGAATTTATACATGACCACCGCCTGGAGGATCAAATTGTGGGGATCGGGCCCCCCGCGGCCCAAATGTGTGTATATATATATATATATATATACACACATCTATCAACATCCACTGCCCGCTGGGGCACCAGGACGTCGGTTCCCAGGCGATGAACATGAATGTATCCCCGCCCCGCAGAGTCCCCCGACCCCGACCAGACTTCGGTGACTACGATTTGGTCGGGCATGTCCCTCTACGGGAGGAAATCTTCAAAAGCAGCTTTCAACACAAAAAATAGTCAGGGGACGAGGCTTCTGCCATGTTTGGTCGTTTTCGTTTTTTTGTTGCATCAAAGTCCGCCTGTAGGGTTATGTCGGGCGTGTCCCCCTACAGGGGGATTTTCGACGAAAAATAAAAAAGAACCCAAATACACCAAAAATGTATCCAAAAATTCAAAAAATAGTCCCTGTACTATTTTTCGATTGTTTTTGGATTATTTCGGGGGCATCTTTTAGTTTTCGTTGCAACTTCCCCTGTAGGGGGACAGGTCCGAGCTAACTGTAGGGGGACAGGTTCAACAAATAGTCCCCAGACCATGTTTGGATCATTTTTGGGGCACTTTTTGTTTTTCGTCGACAATCCCCCTGCAGGGGGACAGGCCCGACTTGACTGTAGGGGGACAGGCCCGACGTGAGACCACGATGCGGCGGCGTGCCCATAGGGGCGAGGTCCGAGGGGCCGGGCCCTCCCCTCGGAAGGCTATATAAAGGGAGGCCTCCCGCCTCCGAGAGGGGTGCTCGGCTCTCCTTGGGCCTTCCCGTAGGGGTCGGGTCTGTCTTTTGCACGGGAGGAGCATCCAAAAACAGTAAGAAAGTAAGATGGGGGCGATGTTATGAGTATTTTTGAGCATTTCGGGCCCTCCCCTCGGAAGGCTATAAAGGGAGGCCTCCCGCCTCCGAGAGGGGTGCTCGGCTCTCCTTGGGCCTTCCCGTAGGGGTCGGGCCTGTCTTTTGCACGGGAGGAGCATCCAAAAGCAAAAGACATAAAGAGAGTAAGATGGGGGCGATTTTCGGAGTACTTTGCAGCATTTCGGGAATCTTTCTGTGATCATTTTCAATGTTTCGTCCGAGATCCCCCTGTAGGGGGACAGGCCCGACCGAAGCCTTCCCCGAAGGCACATAGGCGGCTTCTCAGAAAGGCCGGGGGGCTTCCGAGATCGGGGGCGGCCAAGAGGGTGGTGATGACTAGGGGGCTAGGGGGGGTGAATCTCATGGCGTGGGCCATGTCGTATCCCGAAATTTCATGGCGCCTCTTCTTCTTTCATGACGTCCCTGGCCCCCCCTTTGGGTCGCGCACTGCCGCCAGCCATGATGTGCGCCCCCCCCGTCTTGAACGCCCCCCTCTTGGCCGCCCCCGATGAGAAGCCCCGCCGCCTCTTCGGCCCCACGCAGAGGGGGGCAGGAGGAGGGGGGAAGGCTTCTAAGCACCCCCGCTTCTTAGAAGGCGCGGGCCTTGTCTACAGATGAGAGGCCGTCACATTTTAAGAAGCAGCCTCCTTTGAAGGGGCCCTGGGACACACACATAAATACACACAAATAAAAAGATTCCCCATATTTTCCTATATTTTCTGGGTTTCTGTCTTCCCCCCCACTTCCTATATTTTCCCATATTTTCTGGGAATCGACGATTAATTGTGTCTGTGTTTTTTTTCCCTCCTGATCCTTCTAAGAAGCCTCCCCCCTCCCCCAAGCACCCTGCGCGCGCCGCCAAGCCTCCTGAGAAGGCTTGCCCCTCCTCGCTTCCCCCCGGGCGGGGCCGCCGAACAGCGGGTGTGGCTACGCGCCGGGTGTGCTTTGCGATCGGCGCCGTTGGGGCTCAGGGGCCAACACTTTGTGCCAGAGGCTTGACGAGCCCTCGCCGGAATGCGGCAGAGATCTCTGTCGAGGTCCTCAGATCATCGGCCCCTTTGGATACATGTATTGCTCCCCCCTGGGCTATTCGCCCCTATCGTCGTCTCCGACCCCCCCCCGGGTGCGGGTTGCAGACCACACCCTCCGCAAGCCGCCCCCCCCCGGAGTTCGGATGGATGCCCCGGGGCAAGGCTCGCGCTCAGAGCTCTCATGGCGCCTCCTCGGTGGCGGGCGCTGTCTGGCCACACCGGTCGGGCAACGGTGTGCTACAAGGTGGCGATGTCTCTGCCTTGGGAGCGACAAATCGGGCGAAGAGCACTATGCACACGCACCGATCCTGGCAAGGCCCATCCTTGACCCAGGATCGGTGCATATGCCTTCCTGGCCAAGGTAGGAGGGCGTGTGCACCGATCCTGGGCTCAGGATGGGCCTTTCCAGAATCGGTGCATGTGCATAGTTCTTTTTCCTTTCTAGACAAAGAAAATCGGGGTCGTCTGCGCCGACGTTGGCGCACAAGTTGCCCGCGTGAGGTCGCGCGCCAGCGCCCTCTTTCCCCGCGCGGTGTGCCGCGCTGGCGGCCCGCGTGGGCCGCCGCGTGAGGTCGCTGTGCCGTCTCGCGTCAGGGCCCGTTGGTGGTCGTCGCTCGTGCGTTCGCTTCGGTCGTGCGCCTCCAGGAGGAGGCGCGTATGACCAGCGTGCCCTTCTGCGTCCCACTGTCCGCCAGCGGGGGGGGGGGCCGAGCGGAGGAAGAGGACGGGTGCGAAGTGCAGCCGGACCGAGGTAATTACGAGACCGAGGCCTGCTCGGTCAGGCCGCCCTGATGTTCTTCGTGCTTGTTGGATGTTGCTGCTGCCGTGGTCACCGCTGCCACGGCCGGCCGCCCCGGCCCGCTCGGCGGGGAACTCCTCCATGTCTGAGTGCTCTTCCCTCCCCCTCTGCATGCCGGTCAATGAGCCATTCGGTTGCCCCGAATTGGCGCACGCTGGAGCGGACCGCCTCTGCCTCCCCGCGGACGGGCAAACTGTTGGATGTTCTGGTGCGTCCTGGGGGAGGGTTACCCTCGATTTTTTTTTTTTTTTTTTTTTTTTTTTTTTTTTTTTTTCTCCCCCCCCTTGGGCCGGCGGAGGGTCTCGTGTTCTTGAAGAGTGCTCTTCTGTCCTGGGTCCAGCTGCACCGAGGCCCGAAGTTTCTATGCGTTTTCGTGTGCTCCTGGCGGCTCGAAGTTTCTATACGTTTTCGTGTGCTCCTGGCGGCTTTCGCGGGCTGCGCCTCGCCGAGGGCGTTCGGGTGGTGCATTCGAGTCGTCCCGAGCGGCCGCGGGAGACCCGAGCTAATTCAGACCCGAGAGCCAGGCGGCCCATGCGGCAGACGCGTCCCGAGGTACAGTCGGAGCGGGGCAGAAGATCGAGACCAGTTCGGGGAGGGTGCATTCGTGTTCTTCGTGTTTGTTGGATATTATCGTGCATCCCGGGGAGGGTACCCTTAGATGTTAGGTTTGTTTTGGCCGACGGAGGGTCGAGACCAGTCCGGGGAGGGTGCGTTCGTTAGATGTTCGTTTTGGGGGCCTTCCTGGAGCCCACCTAGCGGATGTGTTCGACCCCAGTTCGGCTCAGGTTCGATTCAAGTTCGACTCAGGTTCGACTCAAGTTCGACTCAAATTCGACTCAGGTTCGACCTAGCTTGACGGACGTTCGACGCAGCTTCGACGCACGTGTGGAACGAGTGGCTCCAGGAAGGTCCCCAAAACGAACATCCAACATTCGTGTTCTTCGTGTTTGTTGGATACCATTGTGCATCCCGGGGAGGGTACCCTTAGATGTTGGGTTTGTTTTGGCCGACGGAGGCTTTCATGTTCTCGAGGGATGTTTTTGTTGGCGTATGTCCAGCTGTACACGAGTCCTCGAGTTATTTCGCCGTTTTGGGGCTCCTGATGTTGTCCCATGACCTCAAGGCTCGGGCGTTGCGTCGTGGGGGGGGCGACTGGCGGGGGCAGACCCTTCGCGCTTAAAGGGGAGACCCCAAAAGGGGGCCCCCTGGGGCCCGAGCAGCAGGTGCACGTTTCTTCGCCCGCCATGCATCGCCGCCCCATTGAGCAACGCGCGAAGGGCCGTCAGAAAACGACTCGGGACGAAACGCTGGGCCTGGGGGAAGCCAGGTTTTGCTTAAATGTGCCCAGGGCGCATTGTTCCCAGCATGCTTGGCGTCCCGCCGGCGTTTCCCTCGAACACTCACTTCCCCCTTCCCTCCTCACCTCTTCTTCCTCTCTCACCTACGCACAACACATGCACGGCACGTACATGAGACACGCGTCCACCTG